CTCTTGACCACTGCGGATTTATAAGTGATCTCTGAGAATCCATCCCAGATGATGCCCAGGATGTGTTTAACGATCACAGTGCTGCTGCTCAGGTAGGGCGTCCTCCACCGTTTTCACTGTAGCTGAGGTTGCAGGTTTGTTACATAAAGTCTGAGGACTGAAATGACAAGTTGAAGCTTTCAGGTGTATGTATCTTTTTTCCTGTTAAGATAGGAAATGAAGGCATTACCTTCTCTCCCTCTCCACAAGGGGAGTTTCTGTAAGCATTAGTTGTGCTTTTTCTTTTGTATTTTGCATGTTCAGGTCCTCCATTTCTTGGCAAAATACAGTAGTCCTGTCGGTCTCGTCCAGCTGCTCCGTTGTCTGGTGTTTCAGGTCACGGCTACCCAGGAAGGACCGAGGGGCTGCTTTGCATTTCTGTGTTGCCATCCAGGGCGCCGAGGGTTGTAACACATCAGGCCTGAGGAAAAAAAATTACGCGTGGGGAGTTACTGTAGTTACTGTTTGAACTACCGCTCCGAGTCAGAGGTTACCGAGAGTGTGCACATTCCCCTTTGAAAGTAAATTCCATCTCTGTGACAAGAGGAACGCAGCACACTGCATTTCAGAGCGCCTCCGTAACGGTCAGCAGCGTGCGGGGCTTTCGAAAGGGGGCTCGTCCCCAGCCACTGTCACCCACAGCTACTGGCACAGGGGGAGGCGGAGACCGACCCCAAAGCCCTGCATACAGCAGCCATCCATGCGATGCAGTGAAACGCACGACCCTCGAGACCCCTCTTGGTCTCCCAGGTCATTTTGCATAGTTACAGCACTGCCTTAACAGCCAGCACATCACTAAGCATTTTAGCTAAATTATCATAAACTTTTCTTGGAAAAAATAGCCCCGCTGCTCCCCATCTACGTCCTGTCCACCTCAGAACGGAGCAAAGGGTGCGTTTTTAAACCAGTCCTACCTGTTGTGACAGCGAAGCTGAATTTTAACCTTTTCTCCTGCAGTAAGAGACCACAGCAAACTTGCTCATTTTTTAACTCCAGAGTCTGATGTGAGCCATGGGTTTAGGGAACTTACCAGGGGTCAGTCCTTCTGCCATAGTGGTTGTTCCAGGCAAGGGAAAGCTTAACACAAAATGGGTGCCCAGGACCACAGGGGTTTGGTGAAGAAAAGGAACTAACAGCCCCGACAATTATTCTGCATCAA